TATTATTTTTTTTAAACAAACGTTAAAAATTCCTTTTTGTTAATCTTTTTTTTTTTTTTTTTTTTATACATGAGAGAAATCCTTTATGAATACCCTGATCCTGGAGGAAGGGTCTCCAGATCGTCCCTGACCTTCCACTCGGACACACGTGCAACGGCGGACGAGGAAGCAAAGGTCACATCGACGATGGATCTCCCGTTGAGCCTCACGCACGTGTGTTGCGTGCCCTTATTGACTGTGGCAAAGCCGCAGGCCGCCATGCACTCTTCGAAAGCCCTTTTGCGTACATCGGTCCTGGGGAAACCCCAAGTCACCGACTTGGCGTTAAAGTCTCCCAGGACCAGTAAAGAACAAAGCTGAAAGCGGCGTATCATCCGCTCCAGCCCGTTCAAGAACTCGAATTCGTGGAAAGGCTTCGTGGGGGAGAAGTAACACCCCACGATAACCAGTTCCCCCCATTCGCACGCGACAAACCCCTCTCCCCTTTCGAGAAAAGAGAAGAAGGTGGACGCATGTCCCCACCTAAAGTGTAAGGCAACTGAGCCGTCCCTCGACCTCAGCCACCATGGGTGGTCTGGGACGGAGTAAGGCTCGGCCGCTACCGCAAGGCATCCACCTAGCTCCGCGAGGCTATGCATCAAAAGGTCCTGAGCCTTGCGGGCGTGATTTAGATTGCCCTGGAGGAGTAACGACATTATGTGGTGTCCATCACATCCTCTTCCAGGGCCCTGCTCTCAAAAAGGAAGGGAAGTGCAATCCCCTTACTGGAAGACGCTGCAGTTGTTGGTACGACGACCGCTACTTTTACCTGAAGTGTGAACTGGACGCCACTCCTCTGTGTGGTTTTGGGCGCCCGTTTACCCTAGCCGGGAACAGAAGCGCACGCTTTGTCTCCCAGGCGGTGGTTTGCGGGACGCCCAAGATCTGCGCATAAGGGGCACTTAGGTGCCGACGTGCACGTTGACACCCTATATTCTCGGTCGCCACAGTTGAAGCAGCGGCCTTTTCTGTCTTGTTACGTCCGCGCCACATTTTTGACTTATAATTTTTCGTAAGGTAACGCATGCGCATACATATACATGTATTCCATATCTTGTAAGTTGCGGCACGTCGTACGTGCATAATATAGTATAAGTTAAAATTAGCAAGTCATACATATACGTAATTCCGTTAGATCCAAATTGACCAATCACAGCGATCCTTCCGGACAACTTTCCCTTAGATCCATTCTGCCGCACACGCATGAACGCGGCCTAACTTTCAAACCACGCATAAGCCTCATCCCTACCCGGACGACTCCGCCTTCGGATTACACTCTCGGGCAAACAGCTCCTTCCACTGCCTCTCCTAGCGAGCTGGCCCTTCTCTCTCATTCCGGAGCCGAGTTCAGTCCTGTGTAGTTCGAGCCGTGGTCCAGTACAGTCGACTTCCAATTTTCTCTCAAGTCTCGCATCTCGACCGAAGCCGTCGAGTCCATCCCGCATTCACGGGT